GCTGTGCAGAACATAATACCGAGGGTGTGGCCTGGGGCCTCCTCTCCCCCGCCCATCGGCACTGCCCCCCATCACACACCAGACCCCACCAGATGCTCCTCTTACTCAAACCTGAAAGGAAGCCGAAATTTCTGAAAGGGTGGCCAACAGGCTTACAGTCACAGAAAACGAAAAAAGAAGGATGTATAAAACAATGTGCAAAATACCTAGTGACTAGAATATGAATTTTCAATTATCCTTCGATTATAACTTGCCAAACATGTGTATGTGATCTCAGAGTGGTTTTGTTTCGATAATTTGGTTCCGACCACCTTAAACAATGACGTTTATTAACACAATAAACCAGGACAGGAAAGCAAATAGTACGTATGTACCAGGCTGAGCTGTAGAGGTTTTATAGACAGAATTTCATTTAATCTTAATATTATTCATTTGAAATTTCTCATACATTGAGAAAAAATTACTTGAGAGTCACAACTAAATAGCAAAACTAGAATGCAAATTTACCTAAAATAATAGTAGTTAAATTCTAACTACTAAGTGCTATCCCCACCCAACTGTGTATTTTCAGCACCTTTTTAATAGAATCAGAAGGAAACACAGCTCCAAAAGCTCCTGTTCAATTTCAAATACATATGGCTTATATTCAACTGCCCAAATGCACTTAAAACTAGACCAGTCTTCTGCTCATAAAGCAGTAATTAAAACCCATCACTGAAGCTACTGGGGTACTTGACTTCAATCCAAACCACAGTTAAAAAAAAAAAAGAGAAAGGATGTTTCAGACCAAACTAAAATGATTTAAGAACAGTGATCCTGGTCTTAATCTATGATTCAGCTTATGTTGCTAAATTCTTTTTTGATATATGGAACCCAGTAAGGCAAAACATAGGGGAAAAAACAAGAACCCTTTTGCATTCCTATTGTAGTAAGACAGATGCTTTACACAGTATATCAGGATGATTTCTGATCTTCATTCATTTATTGGACATTTACAGTCTGTCTGATACAATTGTTAGAAATAAGACCGCTTCTGGCCTTCAAAAATTCAACTTAATAATTAATAAGCTATATGAATCCTATCAATATAAAAAATCAAGATAACCTTTAGAAAAGCCAAAATGAGAATCTCACAATCCAAATTCTAAAGCCCAAGCCCTTTATTAATTAGCTAGTGATCCAAAAGGTCAATGAGACACTGGTTTTATTTTATTCACATTAACAACAGATATGGTTTTCTGAGTATATATCCTACATGGACCATTTACTCGCTCAATGTCCCTAGGCAAGTTATTTCACTTGCCTGACCCTCAGTTCTGCTCACTGGGGAAAAAAAAAATAAGGATAGACAGCTATACTTCAAGGCTGTGATGATGATTAGAGGTAATTATATAACACACCAACACAGAGCCTGGCGTTTAAGAGAAGTGCAGTCGATATAGCTAATATCATAATTACTGGATTTAGAAACCAGTGACAAATTGATCAGAAAAATCAAATTAGAAGTGATGGAGTGGAGGGAGATGAGACTAAAGATAGCTCTAAGGACACGTAGCTGACAGGAAGGGAAGATTCGAGCGAACTGTACAAGACACAACAACTCTGAAACCACCCAGCGAAGCCGCCAGTGCACCCTTCAGCCCCTGTTTAGGGTGTCACGAGTGTTTTCACGGGAGGTGATGATGATGAGGCTGAAGATGACATAAAGCCATTTAAAAGAGATCAAACTTTTATTCGACGATTTTTAAAAAAGACAGCTAAGCGCATAGTTGACTTTGGATCCCTATCAACAGTGATTTAGCATTGCAAATTTCACGTCTTCCATGTCTACACTTCAATGGACTGCAAAATTCTACTCACAAGCGCCTGTTAGACTTCATGTGCAAAGGGACCTCTCAAACTTTGGAGGCAACTTTTTTCTCCCAAACACAGAAAAAGCTGTGTTTCAAACAAATTAACTGTGAAATGTTTCAGTGCAATGACCTAAGACATCATCAGTTCTTTAAGAGCTAAAAAAAGGAAAGTTTTGGTCTCCGTAATTGCTACATGTTTTTATATACACACCAAACAAATACAAACATGCTACAGAGATCTCTTTCCTTTGAATTTTCTCCCTATGTTTGAAAGTCAGTGGAAAGCAAAAAACATCTGTTCCTTCCTGCAGAGCTGACAACCCTCATTTTATGGTTTAAAAATAAAAGATGTTTATGGAAACTTATAATATTAATGATCACCTGCTTCAAAGGCAGCTGGCAATTAATTGACTGAAAGACAAGCCAAATTAAGGCCAAAAAACAATTTCCCTGCGGACAAGGCTGGTGCTCCCCAGGCCTCTGGTAATTTCTAAGACACCCATAAAACCCTAAAGGATGGCAAAGAACCAAATGTGATGACAGATGACAAGAACACAGACAACAGCTGAGAAACAGAGGCCTGGGTCAATCTGGATTCATTCTACCACCACAAGAACAGTTTCCATGAGAACTGCCCCGGGAAAATGCGCTTCACGCTGAACGACAATCACCTTTCAGCCTGCCCAAGGATGGCCACACAGTCAACCATTTAAAAAATTAAAAACAGAAACTAGAAAAATATCAGATGTGAAGGCCTGAAATTCTACAATACCTTCTTTACATTTTATTCTATATGGTGTCTTACTGCGGTAAACATCCAAAAATGAGTAATAAGCAAGGACATTCAGACATGAATCAGGAAAGGTGGCTTCTATTTCTGGCTCTGGCTCTGAATGAATCACACAGTGTGACCTTAAGGAAGTTACTTCATCTCTTTCTCTACCCCCATGCCCCTACCAGTTACAAGATTAGGTTAAACCTACTGATTCTTTTTTGTGGGTATCTTTTTCTTTTTTGGAAAGAAAGTGAGTGAGTGATAGAAATATATGGAAGCCGCTGTGGAAGCATGTACTGGTCACGAAACCAGTATCGCCATCCACCAAATACGAAGTAGGTGACGTCTATAATAAAACAACTAACTCTGCACAGTAAACATCTCTTCCTGGAGGGATGTCAACAAAACCCAGGTACTTTCTGAACAAGGTTCCTTTAACAGAGTTTCAAATTGCAAATTTGGAAGTACTTAGCATAAGATGCAAGTTCTAAGAGTATGCCTTTTTTCCTTTAGGAAAACAAAACTTTGACCTATTTAGAGTCTATGATCTCCAGGACTCTGACCAACCCTTCCACGAAGTCCTCTTCCCTGAGCTCCTGCCAAGGGGGTAAGTCACTCATCCTTGATAGTCTCAGAGCATGGCACTGCATATCCATCCCCAAGTGCTCCTATGTGAGCCTTGGAAAGGTAGAACCATGGTATACCTATATGGTGATCTTTGTATCTCCTACCTTCTACCAGCATTGCCTGGTACATGTGGCCATCACGTGTGTGTAGACATATACATACATGTTCACTACATGAATGAAATGACTATATTTACAAAGTCTAATCTTATTAGAAAGAGCAACAATGAATATTAATGAATGATAGTCTTAATTATGGTGACAGTCTCACTTCTAGAAAAATAATATGTAAAAGAGTGTAACCTGAATAAAGAGAAAATACATGATTTCTCACCAACACTAAATTCACATGAATCAACTCAGAAAATTTCGAATCTTCTTCCTTCGAAAATGGTCTTTTGGGAGGTTTTGTTTGTTTGTTTACAATTTACCTAATGGGGATTAAACTAGAACCATTCCTTTTCATTTAACCTATGCAATATAAAGAGGAGAGGGAAAGAAGTAAAAGAGAGAGTATGTAAAATACTACTCTTAAGTATAAGAGTCCATAAATGTAAAATAAAAGATAGCCCATACATTAAAATAAAAATGTGGTCAGTTAATAGAAGCAATACAAAAATATCAACACCGTTTAGCCAGCTAAGAAGTAGCTACGCTCACTGAGAAATGTCATCTAAGTCATATTCTATAACCTACTTCTTACAGCAATAGAACATATGACTTTAGCTTTTCCAATTACATTTTGAAAAGTTAAATCATTTCAATGTTTATCTCAAACCTATCAGCACTTGCCTAAGTTTCCATTATTTTCCTGCTCCTCCAATTCTCAACTCAATTTCAATTAACAAGTAAGAGTGGAAGAAGTTAGTAAGCATCAAATAAACTGACACTCTCTCAGTGGACTCTTAAGGTAAGTGCTTAGCATCTAGAAGCCTATAAAAAAGGGTGATCTCATGATGCTATTCGGCATTTACCACAGTAAACTAACCCGTGAGCTGGGCTTTCTGAAGCCTATGAAAGTCTACAACAAATGCAAGGGAGAGGTACCAGTTGTGTAACAGTGTGCTTTTGGCCTTCCCACCTTCAGAAGCTCCAATCTACACCCTGTTTTGATGACCATGAAACCAGAGTATTATAGAAATGAAAATTATCCCTAATACTCTACTTCATTATTTATTAAGTTTCTAATAGCAAGTGTTAGATTTGCTTGCATTATAAAACAGGACTAACTTCACTAAGTAGTCTGCCTAGGTTGCTGCAGGATAGAAACTGGCACTCGCATATAGACACGAAAGTACGTTAGAGCGGTGAGAGGCTACTTTTGGGTAGATGACATTAAAATAAACGCTTTATTTGTCCACACTGACCCTTCCAAAGACCATGAGCGATTTTGTGTGCTTTTAACGCTGTGGGTGGGGATGAGGAAGGAAAGAGAATGATGGGGAAAAAATTTATCTGCCTGGTTGAAATGGACACAGAATACAGCAGGTATTTTGGAGAAATGGACAGAGCAGCCCTTTCTCGAGATGGCTTAGGACAGACACGACTGAGTTGTTCCCTTTAAAACGGAAGGCAGTAAGAGATTTCACCAGGCGGGTAAGCAGGACATGAAGTGAATGCCTACGAAGAAGGGACACGCCACAAGCAGGTCACGGCTTTTCAGAGCCAGAGAGGGTGGGTGGCAAGGGGAGGGCCTAACTGGCAGGCGACCTGCGGTCTGGGGACCCGGCGGCAGCGCGAGCTCACCAGTGAACACGTTCTGGAAGCCGTCCGCAGCCGCCTGCGCCCCAGACGCCTTGGCCGCCAGCGCCGGGGGCGTCCCACCGTCGGCAGCCGCCCCGCGCTCCAGCAGGTGTGCGGAGCCGCCCGCCCGGGGCGCGCGGGCGTCCAGCTCCTCCGTCCAGTCGGCCGAGCGGCTGAGGCCGCCCGCGAGGCCGCCGTCGGCTCGGTGCTTCTTGGCCGGGGCGGCCGCGGGGGCGAAGGCGGCTCTGGGTCCCCGGCTCAGAGAGGACTCCAGCCGCCTCTTGATCCTGGGGCTCTGGTCGGGGGACGGCGACGGGGAGTGGTTGGGCGAGCTGAGCTGCCGGGTGGTGGTCTTGATGTAGCAAGGGGCGATGAGCGGGTAGGGCCTGAAGCAGCGCGGGCTGGGCGCCGGGCTGCCGGGCAGGGAGGCGGCCTCGGGGACGCAGGGTCGCTGCGCCCCCTCCTCCGGCTCTGCCCCCAGCCCCTGCGGGGCCTCTCCCACCGCCAGGCCCCACTCCTCCCCCGGAGAGCCGCGGCGCGCATCCTCAAAAGCATCCTCCTCGCCTTCCTCATCCGTGTCCCCAGCCCTCCGCTCAGGGGCTCCGGCCGCGCCCTCCCCGGGTCCCGCCTCGGGAAACTGGAAGACGGTGGGCGAGGGGGAGTCCGCGGCCGGCGGCTCAGCCACCGGCGGGACGGGCGCCTCCGGGGCTCGGCGGCCGCTGGGGGGCGGCGGTGGCTCGGGCACGGGGGGCTCCGAGGCCAGGCTCTCGGGCAGGTCAGAGAGCGCAGACAGCGCCTGCTCTGTGTCCGGGCTGCCCGGGGCCTCCCCGGCCACGCCGCTCGGCCCCAGCAGGAATCGGTCCAGGCCCAGAAAGGCCCCGGGCTGCGGGGAGGCGGCAGTGGGGGACACTGCTGGCTCCTGGGCGCCCTGGAGGTGCTGCAGGCGTATCGCCTGCTGGATGTCTGAGAGCAAATCCTCTTGCTCCGTAGCCGAGTGGAAGCTATAGATGTCCGTGTCCGAGCCCGAACTGGTCCTTTGTCCATCCTGCGCCCCTGCCGCAGTTTCCACATCCTCGGCGACAGCCTGGCCCCCCACTCCAGTCACCGCCTGCTTAGGGCCACCTGGACGGGTCACCTCAAAAGGGTCGGCACCCTCGGTGTCCGACAGGCCTGTTTCGTCCGCCGACAGGCTGAGGTCCGGCGTCTTGGTGATCAGGGAGGGAGCGCTGTCCAGCTCCCCGGTGTGCAGGGCCTGGGAGTCCAGCACATTCTCGCGGGAGCCGCCGGCGCCCTTCCCCTTGGACAGGTTCTTCCTGATCCTAAGGTTGGAAAACACCGAGGCTCTGGAGTCCGACTTGCTCTTCTTCTTGCCGGGCTCCGCGCCGCCGCCGCCGCCCCCCTTGCCGTGCTTGCCCGGAGCCTTCTTGCTCCCGCTCCCCTTCTTTGTGGCCTCCACATCTCTGGGCCCAACAGCATCCTCCGCGCCGCCGCCGCCTCCTTCGTGGGAGGCATCACCTGCGCTCCTCTTCAGCTTCCCATCCTGGTTCCCCATGTCGCACTCCGGCTGCTGCCCCGCCGCGCCTCGGGCACTCAGGCCATCCCGGCCCTCCGGGGGCCCCGGCCCGGGCGCGGGGAGTCTCCCTGGCCGGTCAGGCTGCCGGGTGAGCGGCTGGGAGGAGAGGCCGACGCGAGCGCCACCGGCCCGGGTCTCATCTGCAGCCGCTTTGCACAATGCGCGGTGGCTGCGTCGGCGACTGCAGCCCGGGACCCGCGAGGCGCGAACATGCTCAGTGCAGCGCGCGGCGCCAGCCAATGGCTGCGCGGGATGCAGCCCGGGCCTGGCTCGCCGCCCGCGGGGCCCACGCCGGGCTCCTCGCCCGGGCGCGCGCGGAAACCGTTTCCTCTGTCCCCGCGACCGGAATCTCCAGGGCCAGATTGAATGCATCGCACCCGCCCCAGGAGCTCGTCGGCTGGAAGGTGCACACCGAACTGTTAAGCTCCGGGACGGGCCACGAGAAAAGTTAAACACAAAGGAAAGTTTAAGCAGGGAAACACTGTAGCCAAATTTCAATTTAGAGGCGCTAAGCCACAGACACGTACACACACACACACACACACACACACACACGCAACACCTGCCTTCGGAGGCATGGCATTTCAATAAATATTTGTGGAATGAATGAACTCTTCTTTAATAATTGATTTTCTTTAACACTGTTATGTACTTGAGCATATGGTTTAGGAAGGGTTACTATACACATAATAATGCTTTTATATTCCATGTAGACCTTGCCCTCCACGGGAGAACATTAGCCTTCAATTCATTTTAACTTCTTTTTTTCTTTAACATAGTAGCGAGGTGGAGGAACCGCAAAATACGAAGAGATTAGAGTTGATTAAAATGCTAAGCTCCAAAATTCTATGTGTTTACCATATAAATAAAACAGACTTTGTATTTTAAAAGGGTGCATATACTATAATTCCCAGAAGGTCAAACTCATCAATATTAAACATGTCCCTATTGTTGCCGCCTATAAAAAGGAAAAAGAAAGGCGGTACCCTTGGCACACACACATGAAATCAGATGTCATGCTATAAATCACCACTTTCCCAAGCAGACCCCTGAAGACAAACTTTGTCCTTTCTTCAGTTTAGAAGTTAGCAACAGTTCACTGTCATGAAGTTTGTTAGCATTTTGGCTTCAATATTAATATTAAATTTTCCCTCATTGTAAATCTTGTTGCTATTTTAATTCCTTAGGAAATTTAGGTACCTATATTTAAAAAGCATTTTTAAACATCAGTGGTATTTTTAAAGCTCCAAGCAGTAAGTTAAAATAAGGTTAAAGTCCCATTATTCAATAATGTACCAAGTAGTTAAGTTAGAATTTCATTGTTAACCACTTTGAAATTGTGGATTAACTATCCAACATGTTAGTATTTTTAAAGTAAGCCCACAGGAGCGATTTCAATGCAGCAAGCAAATGTTTCTTTGCACATTGTGAACCAACATTTTAAACTGCTCCCCTTAACTATTTTTATCAAAAATTTTTTTAAAATTGTCCTGTAAGTCTTTCATGTTAAAGCATATGTAGCCATAATTAATTACTAGCCTTTTTTCTAATTACTTCTTTAGAATAGATAACATAAGGCAGGTGGCCAGTTGTCCTCAGGTGGCCCTTCTGGTTAAATAGTTTGGAGAAATCAAGTTTAATAACTTTGCCAGGGCGTATTCCAGCCTCTGGGTGACTCCGGAGCGCTTGAAAAGCCTTTGTTTCACGTCTTTCACAAAACTGTTCTCTTCTTGAATCCAGGCTCCTCAGGAGCACAATCCGTCTGGGGCAATTAGAATTTTCTGCTGCTTCTGTACTGAGACAGCACAGAGCAAATCTTGATTTTTGCTCAGTCTTTAACAGCACATCTTTGATTCGGAACTATTTGTTTCCTTACTATTTTCTTCTGTGATATACTCTACAAGTTCTGGAGACAAAAGAAGAGAAGGAAAAAGGGAGGCAAGGAAGGAAGAAAGAGAGAAAAGGAGAGAGAAGGCTGCTGAATTTTTTTCACAGCCTTTGAGTGTGAAACAATAGATGACATTTGTGTACCAGGTCACAGTTGACAAAGCTCTGTTACATGCAAAGGCTTATGTGACACTCACAAGTGTCACATAAGAGCAAAGGCAACACTTGAACCTACAAATTTAGGTCCGAAATTCTTTATAAACAAACATTACATGGTTTACTCTTTCAGGGACTGGTAAGAGAATCATGAAGACAAAATGCAAAAGTTTGCAAAGCATTCTTTGGCAGTTAGTCATCCCAAAATGCCTGGGATGTGGCTTAAGCTGAACTCCATTCGTTCATGAGAGAAGATCATATTGCAAAAACATGTTTAACAAATAATTAGAGATCCGAATTTTTACCTAGCTACATACCAGGTCCCAGGATACAGAACAGAAATACGCAAGTGTGGCCAACCTCTCTGTTCAAGGATCTAACCCAGCATTATTTTTGGTAAAAGTCTTCAGTATTAGCATCCCAAACTGGTCACAAAAACTGTATATAAACTAAAATGTAGTGCTACCCATTTCCAACAGAGAGGATTGGATATGGACTTTGAATATAATGTTTAAAAAACTAGATTGGCAAACTTGAAACAAATGTTGAACTCCAATTCATAATATGTATACATGGACATAGTTGGAGTAAACATGTTGATTTCTACTTCTAATGCATCAGATAAATAAGATGCCTTCATGGATGGATGATACTATGGACAGATTTGTAATCAAGCAAGTATAGTAAATTTTTGATTATATAGTTTAGGTGATGAATATATGGGTATTGCTGTAAAATTCTGTCAACTTTTCCGTACGTTTGAAATTTTTCATGCTAAAATGTTGAGTAAGAGAGCGGGTTGCAACAAATGAGTGAATTTTCCAGCTTCTTTGAAACTGAGATCATGCCATGGTTTTTGGCGCTCAATAAACACTAAATGAATAAGCGATTCCTCTCTTTGCTCTTACCTACCTGTTTGTCTGAGTTACATGTCCTTTCTCTTTCTCTTCTCTCCACTCCCCTCCTCCATCACTTTCTCAATTTAGTAGCTCTCAATACTGAAATGTTTTTGACTTTTGTTTTTCTAGTTTCCTCTCGGTTTAACCTTGGTGGAGTGGTTGAGATTCTCCAACAAAACAATCAGATTGCGTTGAAATGACCCAATTTGTCCTGACCCCTGCTCAAACCTACATGCCTGAAACTGGCCCCACCTTTTCTCACATACCTCGCCCTCCTTTACTCTTTCATTCGGTAAAAGTACCACAATCTCTCCAGTTGCCCAAACCAGACTTGTTGCTGCCGCCTCCCTCTCCCCCGTCCCCACGTTTTACCAGTCACAGAGACTTCTCTCTTCTTCCTCCTTAATGCCTCGCAAATGTATGCATCTTTCCCATCCCCAACTGCCCTTCTCAGGCCCCCGCCTCCGCCCAACCTCCAACTTGCATGGCTCCATCTCACTATCATCAATGGCTCTCAACTGGGGTGATGGTTTTGCTCTCCAGGGGGAAATCTGGCACTGTCTGCAGACATTTTGGGTTGTCACAAAGAGAGGGGGGAGGCTAATGGCACCAGGGATACCGTTGAATATAATGCATAAGAAAGCCCCCCACCCCCACCAACTAAGAAGGATCCAGCCCAACATGCCAACGACGGTGTGATTGAGACCCCCGCTTTATCATGAAGCCTTTCCCCAGAACTGACAGTCAATAAATGTCCGCTGAATGAGCAAAAGGTAAAGGTTCTTTCAAAATTATATTTCTCACTTAATCAAGCTCAGTCAGAAATTTGAAAGCACGACCCAACAGGACCAATAGGATTTTAAATACTGTATCTACAGCACCAAAATCTTAAATGAGGAATTAACGGTTTCTCTGAGGCGTTCATACTTCATAACACTGTGCATCTGTATACACATTACAATCCTCCGCACACTTGATTACATTATAGAAAGTCCTTGCTCTTACCAGAGATTTTGTGGTAACGAGGAGAGAATTGCTAGGGCTCTATTTTCACAGATAATCACAAACAAGTTCAATTTTTAACATCATCTTACATTTTATCACCAGGGCAACACTTGGCAATAAAATGTTTACAAAATAGAAAACACGTCAAATACTACTTCCCCAAGCGATAGAGAACACACTACAGATTTGTTTCTACATGAGAAAAGAGTTAAAGCTAAAGAGTTCTAGATGGTACCCGTTCTTCCCTGCCATGAATAGAACATAGACTTCCCTCTTAGACATGAAAGCGCACCTTAGCCTTCCTCATGTGCTACTCCAAAGGTTCGGGATTATTTGTAGCTGAAAAACAAAGGGAGAAATGAAAACACTTATTTTATTCTTATGTCACAAGGAATCTCTTGCAAAGCTAAAGAGTTCTGGTGTTGAGTCTCCAGACATACCTTTCTTAAGTCAAGTTGGCCTTTCTACCTGCGGAAGGGGTGAAGACAGAGATATACAAAATGGGGCCACTTTACCTAAGCTGCCAAAATTATTAACATTATGAAGGTTAAGACATGAGGAAATAATCTATTCTTGTCCTAACTAACCTGAAAACTTAAACTTTTGAACTTCCCTGTCCTGGGTAAATACCTGGACATACCACTAGGCCTCCAAGGAGCCCTCTGATGACCCTCTGAAGGGCTCACGTATCCACAGCACCTGACATCCCTTACCCAGCCCACCTTGCGTCCACCATGCAGGCCACCTGGCATCTGATGCAGGCCACCCCGGACCCATCCTAGAGCAAAGGAGGCACGGCTGATTATTCTTAAGAATGCCCTTTTTTTCTTTTCTTTTCTTTCTTTCTTTCTTTTTTTTTTTTTACTATAAGAGCTCTTAATTTTTCTTTCCTTTTCAGAACAGTCCTGGGGTTTTTTTTGTTTGTTTTGTTTTGTTTTTTGTTTTGTTTTGTTTTTTGCTTAGTTGGGTTTCCAATGGGCAAACTCTAAGACCCTTGAATAGATCTCTATCATTTATTTCTAGCCAAAGCCTCAGGCTCTTTTTGAGTTTGTTTGACATACCTCAGAGGGACAATTCAGGGACCCTTTAGGTGTCAACCATTTAAAATTATCTAA